TCACCCTTTCACTGCTGAACTGTCAGCAGCTCTTGTCTTCTCATTCAAAATAGTCAAGTTGGCTAAATTTTTCTACCTTTAGGATCATACATGCCAAAATTGTGTTCTCAGTAAACTGACGTTTAAGCTTTTTTAGTGTTAATATGTATTTAATTCAGCTCTGATTAAGCGTTGAACATGTTCAAAGGGTTTGTACTAGGGTTTTATTTTTGGATGGATGCTTGAATGTACAATTTGTGGATTTCTACTCTGCTTTCTAATGCATAGAACAGCCAAGCAATTTGATTTATTTGGGAATTTGTTAGTGCCTTATAAAAATAACTCTTACAAGATTTTTCTTCTTGATTGCTTTATAAAATTAAATATATGTTACAAATAATGGAACAGGTTGGCAGAAATCTAAATCTAACATATTTATTCAAATCAAAGATGAAGTTCCCTCAGTCAACTTGCGGGGGGAGGGGTAAAAGATCCCCTTGTCTTGGATGATCTTCCAATAATTAGATACTTTACATTTTATAAATACATTTTATAAATTTTCCAGATATAGACTTAAATTATTGGGGGGCATCTTAAATTGGAAGTCATCTTGGATTCTGGTAAATACAGTATTTTCTGCATTGCCAAACCATCATAACCCATGCTTGCAGTGATTATACAATGCATTCTATTTGCTTTATTTCCATTCTGCTTAGATAGATCCCTCAACATAGTGGCCTGCATTCCCTGCAAGGTGCACGGCTGTGCAGGCACTTCTGGCAGTGTGGCATGAGCGCATCTGCGCGCCTGTGCACACTGCACAGCTTGGAGGAAATGCTGATAGTGGCACATGTAGCAGAAGCTGCTGTCAAATAATTAATGCTAATCAAGATTAGATGCAAATAGTTCATATTAGAAATAAATATAATTTTTATCTTTTTTATAAAGGAATAAAGACTGTTTTTTTTACAATCACTGGTTTAATAAATGTTGTTTGATTAGTATGTTAGTTGTTGTTTCAGAGGCTTTATTCACCTAAGTCCTGAATTTATAGTAGGTAGTACAGGCAACAAAAATGGAATTCTGGAATAATATTGCATAGAAATATTTGTAATAGTCAAAATTACTATAAGCTGAAGGCAATGAATTTCTTAATTTTTCAGGGCCATAAATAATTTGTTCTGTAACATCAGCTAAGAGTATCAGCAAGTTCCAAATGACAGAACTTGTACAATGTTCAGGCTTGAAATAGGTTGTTTCCTAGGCTTGTGATAAAAGGCCTGCTGTCTGTTTAAATAAGAATGTGCAGAACATCCCATTTAGATTCAACTCAGGTGTACATTTCATCCTTGTAGATACCTGGGTTCACTCAGGTAGTGATTTGTTTCCTTTACAGAAATTGCATTAATATTCCTTTAAAAGTTGCATATTTTAGTATGAAAATATATTCTAAATGGAAAACTTCAGTGACTCAGTTGCATATTTCCATATTTAATATACCAGTTTCGAGTATGAATAAGTATCGAAGCTGACAAAACTCATAAAAAAAGAAAAAAAACGTTAACTAATGGAAAAAATGAAATGCCCTAAGGAACATATGTGATCATCCCAAGATGCTTTACTGAGCAGGGTTCCTCTTCAAACTAGTCAATTTGCAGCCTGTCAAGTGTTCCTTTTCTTTCATCTTGGTGACAAGGGTGTTGCAGGTATCAAGGTTGTCCTCTTTCTCAAATAGTTCCCCTCTACTCTGTGGTTAATGTGAAATAGGGTTGGTTCTTAAGTGTTGAAATTCTGTGCATGAATGTTTTAAGTGTTTAGCCTCTGTTCTCATCTTGACAGTCTCAGTGCTGGCAAGAGGTGCAGATAAAACTCTGCTTCATGGGTTGCAGAAGAATGGTATTCTGTTAAACCAGTTTTAACATAAAGGGATTAGAATATCATTCATTTATTTAAAATGGTAAAGAGCTTAATTTAACCATTGAAGCATTATTGCATAAGTGGTGCTTTTTTATTTTGTCATTCTGGTTTATTTAACAGAGCCAACTGTGAGAGCAGAGCTGATGGAGCAGGTGCCTCATATTGCTATGTTCTGTCAAGAAAACAGGCCATCAATCCCCTATGCTTTTTCCAAATATTTGTTGCCTATTGTGGTAAGATACCTCGCAGACCAAAATAACCAGGTAAGAGTCCATTATACATAGAATATGGGTACTTTCTCGGACTTATTATATGTTTACACTTTGGAGCAAATACAGTTTTGAGGAACGTTGAATTTGATTGAGAGAGGCTTTGGGTTTTTTTTTTAATAATAGGATCGTAAGTTGGCCTTTGGTATCTTATTGCCAGAGCACAAATACACAGATAAACGCTCTTATTTTTATAGGCCTATACACTGTAAAAGCATCAAAAGAAGGAAAGAAGCAAAACAGAAGTGTGAAATGTAATTCATAGAAATTAAGACCAGACGAGAACATGATCTCATCGTCTAGTTTGAGCACTTACAACGTTTATTGTAACAAGGGGGGTTGCCTTGTTGGACTTGGTGTTGGCCACAGGTGATGACCTGGTGAGGGGGCTGCGGGTGCTTGACCCCCTGGGCGACAGTGACCACTGCCTGCTTGAATTCACCATTCAACGCAAGGTGGCAAAGGCAAGCAGTCAGGTGGTGGCCCTAGATTTTAGGAGGGCAAATTTCAACGAGCTAAGAAGGATAGTTGGAGAAGTGCTGAAGACTCAGACGGGAGGGGAGCCGGGTGTCCAAGGGGAGTGGTCGCTCCTTAAGGAGACGATCCTCCAAGCCCAGGGGAAGGTAATCCCCAGGAGGGTCAAAGGGGGCAGGAGAGCATATAAGCCTCCGTGGCTCACTAAAAACATCCGGGAATGTCTCCTTGCCAAAAAGGAGGCTTACTCCCAATGGAAAGGAGGGGTCATCACTAAGGAG